CGAAGAAAAAATATCGACAAAAACTAGATGTCTCTATCTAAACTCAACCCACTACAGTGACTGAAGAATGGTACGCGTTAATATCGTTTCAGTTACTGTTACTCGTTGTTATATATAATATGTGAAGCATTTTGCTCGACATCCTCCCCGATTTTTCTCTAGCAAAACCACTTATTAACACCACACTTTGTATAACAAAACGGTAGCCGTCTACTAACAACGCCGCGCCCTTTCTCTTCGTTTCAAATATCTTATCCTCCATCGAAAGACTATCAACTAAGTATAACTAACACACCAACACCCTTACTACTAACTCTCTGAAGGATGGCACAAAACTGTTGAGAAATACGGAATTTGAAAAATATTACATGAGTCAAGCTTATAGGAGGGCATTCCACTGAGATTCCACGTGAACGCCCCTCTGCAGACCATGGTTGGGTACAGTATTTTCTTGGGCGAATAAAACTATTTTTGAATATTACAGTTTTACAGTATTATATTAGTATTTGATCACCTCTCGTGTAATTAAAAGCGTCGAACAGATCATATAAAATGCAGTGTTATAAAAGTGGTAAATGAAACATAAAACTTGTTTCTTAGTGGTAAATAATTATTCATTTATGCAAATATATTCTCAAGAGACGGAATAAATACATATAAAGTAAATACTCTAACAGTCGCAACACTAAAAACTTAAATTAACATAAAATAACTCCTAAAATATAAATACGAAAGGGCAAATCAATCACTTATTTTTCCAATCAACGTATTATTGTGAAAGAAAAGGTTAAGACAGAAATGGGAATTTTGAGTCTCCCGTTTCTCCCCGTCTATCTGGGGAATCCGCCGTGGCAGTTTCAGTGTTTCTAGCCCTCTCAAAAACACCCTTATAATCCTCACTAATTGCCGTGGCAGTTTCAGTATGGAGCATGATCGTAAAACGTCGTGGCAGTTTCGGTGTCCCCATGATTTGTGTAGCCCTGTCCACTGTCCAGTGTCCAAGGACAGAAACAACAACCTCTTTCTTCAGTTGATTTGTATTATTTTACTTTAAGTCAAGTAAATGATATATACAGTACTGTATGTGTATTGCACAGATGTATGCATGTGTGTACATTCTGAGTCACCAGTGTTGTTGTGGTAGATTACTTGATAACATGTCTCACCTGATAGGTTTGTTTGCGACGATAAATAACTAGAACATACTCGTATTGACCTATATTATAGAAACAAGGAAACTCTACAAGGTTGTGAAATTTGCAAGAGTCATTTTTATTGATGCAATAAGGTTCAGATTGTAAATGAGGATAAGAGATGCATGTCTCGTCATTGTAACATCCAGGTCAAATGCAATTAACACTGCAACTTTATTTTACGTTTTTAACTAGCATAACTGAAATATTGTAACCCTTTTCAACTTACCAGACGTAGGCCTGCTCTAGTATGAGGTCTTGTTCTACAATAGCCTCGGTACATCGATTAAACTTAACGGTAAACGTGTTGTTAGTAGTAATTGCAGCTGCTCGGATAGTTCCAGTCGGTCGGACCGTACGATAATTGACCGTCATACTTTACTTCATGTAATCAGTGCAATCTCCTACACTCGCTCTCTACTTACTTGGGGCCGGAGTAATGTAACAAGGTATCATAAGAAACGTCACCAAGTAAAAATAATTTAACTGGGTTGTTGCTCCTTGAAATTTGCTCTAATTTGCGAAATCAGTACAATCACTACTTGCTCACAGACCATACAGTTACCGATCGTAGAGTTAACTTAATTTTATTTGCCTTGGTTTTTTGAAAAGCGCAAATATTTATTTAAGGAAAATCTGAATGTGACAGATTCTTGTAAAGTTGATCATGGCAGTTTTGACGATCGATGAATGGATTGCATTGTACTGTTAAGGAGATGCTCCGGCAATAATTTAAATAGTCATAAATATCAACTGAGGCGGGCTATCAAGCTAGGCTATCAGACCGGAAGTAGTCATATCAGTTATCAGTGCTCCATATTAGACGGTATAATGCATGCGACTCGTGCCCAGCAATCAGTGGCGCAATTCGTTTATAGGCTACATCAGACTGCTTCAGTGTTATTCAGTTATACACGGAATCTGTTTTCATTACAACGCGAGTTTTATTTCATGCAGTATTTATATCCCTACAATGTTTTACAAACACATGTTTCGTGTAGTACATTTTGTATAATTCATCCTAAATGTATTTTGCTTTGTTTTTAGTATAAGTCGACTAAAGTAAGATTGACGAACAACACTCAACAAGTTTAAATTACATATTTTCACAAAAGATGGCTAGAGTTTCATGAAACATAAACTCGTTAAAAATTAACATCGCGATCAGTCGTTTAACGGTTTGTATTGTTCCTGTGATTGTAAAGAATTTAAGTATCATATACAATAAATTTAAAAAAAGTTACCTGTGCTAGAGTTTGTTTTTTGTTCAACCGTAATGTACAAGTGCGAGTGGTCAAAGTGCTCGCCTTCTAATCTAAAGACTGGTTCGATTCCAAAGAAATTGATTCTGGACCTCGATGTAATTATTCATTGATGAACAGTCAATTAATTAATGATTACATAATTGACTATTGAATGCAGAAGCCAATTTATATGATCCACTTGCAGCCAACATTTGATTAAAATTAACGTACAGTAGTTGAATTAACAGCTCAGAGAGTGTGATACTGTCTAAAATTATATTTTCATCCTTATCTTTTATTACTAGATAATTTATGAGGCCTCTAAAAATGCTGTAATTTCAGTTTTTGCCAGTAAAAAGTCTGCGTAAAACAGAAAAAGCAACTAATCAGCGCAATTTAGCAGTCGTTTAATTAATACAAGTATATATTTTTTCATAAAACTTGCTACAACTCTAACATGGAAATGGAATGTCTAGTAAAAATATGCTATCTAAAAAGTCGACGTTGAATGGTGGTGAAAAGACCAAGGTTTGGGCCGTTCACAAAAAAACTTTTAAAAAGGCAATGGTGTAGTTAAAAACAATAAAGCTCACAAACCAAACGTGTTCACATGGAATACAATGTCTGATAAGTAGAGTTGCAGGTTGCATGCCTGTAGCATATGCAATGATACTGCAGTAGTAGTATATACTACTGTCTCACTCGCACATCTCCCATCTGTGCTGACTCAGACAATTAATTACCCCCGGGCTCGGCGCCAACCTAATTTACTCTATCAATTATTCAATTCAATTCACTGGACGAATTCCACACTCACGCTCGCACTGTCAATGTCAAGATCTAATTCGGTGGGAAACGCTTGTTCATTCAGCCACTGGTTGTGAGCTACGCGTGCGTAATGTAGAGAAGAAAACAAAAGATGATACCACTTATTTGTAATCCATACTACTATTTTCTATTCAAAATAAGAGAGTTGTTTGTCTCACTATGAAGTTGTCACAATAGATAGTAAATATGATTGGTAAACACAGTTTGTGGATGAAATATTAAGTGTTTTCCCAAAACACGACGCTAGTAGCTCTAAACACGGGGAAATTGATCTAAATTACTCAAAAATACTCCTGGGACAACAGACTTGCATACTAAACGAATTCATATTTTCTACGTTTCTTTCCTCAACACACGCTTAGATCTAGATCCGTGCTGTATTTCCTAGTAAGTACTATTAGTGAGGTGTTCTGTTCCAACAAACAAGAGAAAATTGCTGTTTTTGGTTAAATTTTAAAAGCCCATTTAACAGGTTCACTACAGTCGTCACACTCCTCTGCTTGGACAGTTATCTAACACTTGATAGTGAATGTGTTAAAAGCTTGCAAAATGTTAAATAAGATAAATCCATTTAAGCAATCGACTGCAATCAATTTATTTGCCATACAATATACATGGAATACAGTACTGCGTTTTACCAATGACTAAGTATAAACTATATAAACACAATTTAAACTTATAGTTTTGAAGGGGCTAAAAGACAATGTACTATTTGAGTCGCCGACTGCTATGTCTTGCCATGAAGTTTACGGTTATAGCTTCACCCAACACATGAAAATTCCCTTGCAGATGAGAGGTCTTATGTGTAATAAAAATCCAGCATACATTTGATAAGTTGAATTCTCCCGTGTACACAGGTTGGTATTCTTAACCGCAGTGTTTGCATCATGTACAGTGTACAGTGTGGCAACGCAATGCGGTTACACTGCAGTGTGGTCAAGTTGGCCGCTGGGTGTGGCTAGATGCGGTTTAGTTTTGTTTACGTGGGAATCGCATTCGTAGTTAAATGTAGGCCTACCTACATAACATGTTCAGAAGTCTTATGTAATGCAGATTCCAAGCAAGAAGTGGAAGGTTTTTAACCCATCAATAGAATAGGATTCGATGTCTTTCTGAGTAAAAATGAAGGTAAACTACTGTCAACATTTGTGCATCGTCTAAGTTACATATAATAAACTTTGCCTATCACGATATATCCATTGCTCTTGTTATTTATTTGTGGGCTCGTGGCATGCAAGGAAAATGATTCGACGCTATCAGCAGAAGATGACTGGTGGTTGTTTGTTAGTCAGCAGTCAGCAGTGTTACCAGTTACAGCGATGAATGCCCTCCTCTCAGCATTTGTCTTGTCCAACAACAGAAGATTCATTGTGTGCCAGTTTGTTTGGGCTTTTGAGAGGGCAATTGCCGGGTTATGAATGACGTGTTGTTTGAGAGTTATTTTTCAACCAACAATATTGTACTGCGTACGTAAATAAGTTGGGAGGGGCACTTCTGATACCCTAATTATACAGTGTATTAATATGTTACACTAGCGTATTTGATTATCTGTGAATAATCTGATGTTCCCTAACAACTTTTAGAAATATGTATGGATTGTAATTATTTCATGTCACAGTTCACAAATGCATGACTGAAGTATTATTTTCGTCTACTGGTAAATCATGTACAAGTATGGTGTTAGCCTCTTTTAACACGTAAACATTCATATATTTACCCGACTGTTTATTTTCAGGAGTTACAACCAACAATAAACGGCGACGCCGCGAAAGAGGAAGTCGTAGAGGAGAAGAAGGAAAAAGAAGAAACGGAGGCAAAGAGTGAAACGGACGAGAAGAAAGATGAAAGCCTAGTAAACGGTGCTCCAGAAAGTCCAGAAGACAAGGACAAATCCACAGACGAAGCAGCGACGCCGGAAGGCAAAGAGAAGAAAAAGAAGAAGGAAAAGAAGAAGTGGAGCTTCAGGTCGATCAGCTTCTCGAGGAAAGACAAGAGCAAACCGAACGTGAACAAGGACGAGGCGAAGAACGGAAATGTGACCAAAGAGGAACCAGTAGCAGAGGTAAGCTGTAGTTATTTGTTTTTAGAAACCTTTCTATCTATATATGCATAAAAATGATGCAATGATGACAATGACGTGCAATCTGAAGTTTGGTACAATCTGCCAGACTGTCATGTGGCGAAACTGGATCTGATGCAGAGCTAGTAGCAATCAGTTTATTATTCAGAATTAGAATAGACCATACAGTGGTGTTTTTTCCCTCTACACTCCGAAATAACCGATCGATGTGTATTTGATTGTTATCGAATTCAATGGAGCTTGCCACGATTTATCTGTCACAATACTGAACTCAATGCAGTGTCACATAGCCAACTGTAAAATAACACACCCACTAATTCGCAAATTTAGTAAACTCGCGAACTATGTAGAAAGTACGATACGATCTAGGTGGCATTCCCACTCCCACGTGTTCTGGGAACGTCCAACAAAGGCGCCCGAACACACAATTGTAGGCCACTGACAATGCTGATGCCCGTGTTGTGTTGCCCAGCGCGTGGCTCAAGCCCCGAAATGCCCAGTCACGTCTCTGCCCCCCAAATCACCGGCCCCGCTGGCCCCTTGTCTACCGTCTATCATTATCTCCTCTATTCGGCTCTCGGCTCTGCTACTACTTTCCAACTTGAGGTTTTTGCCCTCGGTGTTTGTTATTGTGTATGATTAAACACGTGGATGTGTTGTGTTGGTTATGTGTTTTTTGTTTGAATGTAAACGGTTTGAATTATATTTAGACTCAAAGTCAATGAGCCAACACACTGCAGAGATGTGTTTACTCTTTAGTCACCCAGGGTTGTTAGTCGTAAGGTAACCTATGTCAAATAAAACGGCTGGCATTTGACCCTACCCATAACTCTGGTAAACCTGATTTGTGAAAGAAGGAGTTAGTGGATGCATGAGTAACCAACCTTCAATCCTTCAGCGTGTGCACTAAATATCCTGCCTGAGTCATCGAAGGTCATGTTGAATGCCAGCACTCTCACTGAGAAGTTCTCGTCACTTTGACGGTTGTTCGTCGTACGATGGCTCATAGGCAATGAATGAGAGCAGTTTAGTAGGGTGAAAAGTGGTCGGAGAATAATATATAAGGAGACTAGCCGACCTGAATATTAGCAATCACAGAGATATGTTTTGAGCGGTTTTGTGTCACTGAGCGTCATTGATAGCAAAAGGCTGATTTTCATAATGTATCTGACGACAGTGACGACTGGATGCACGAGTCATCGAAGGTCATGTTGAATGCTCAGTAATTCTCGTAGACAGTGACAGTAGTGATAATTAGCCTATTAGCTTGTACTGCGTGTCTAGACTCTCAGTCGTTGACTCAGCTCCAGAGGAATGTCAAGGTCTCCCGCCATCATCGCCGCACCGGAAGCCCCCCGGCAGTTTGCCGCCAAAACCTCGCTAAGTGCTAAATACTGTCCATCCGCGGCTTTCAACCGCGCTATAAACACGTCTTGAAGCCGCGACTTGACGATTTACGACCTCGGTTTTATGACTGGAAGCGCCGCCTAGCAGCCTTTTGGCACGTGAAAGCGAACTCTAGATTTGGGAGTTTTTGGAGATGGTTTCGCACCAGGGTGTTTTGAATTTGGAAGATTGGATAATTGTTGTAAAGACAAACTAGATTCGCCCAAATATTGCTCAATCCATCTCTATAAGAGATGATTCTCATTATCTCACATACACCTCAAACACATGCTGATCTTTCTGAATTCAATTTCCATACTGCTGTTAGACAGTAATGTAATTTCTCGTCCACTTTGTAGAAGACATTATCAGTTGTAACAAAACATAACCAATGCTTAATAAGCAATAATACTTTACCTCATGATGTTAAAGTACCCCGGATCTCACTATTACGACACCTTAGCGCCGTGTTGTTGTGATGGAGTGACAGATGAGCCCGAGTTGTGGTCAGCCTGCGGTCACCCTAACACTGAGGTCATCCAAGGTCAAGCAGCCGACACTAGACACTAGACACTAGACCCGCCCACTGCCACAGTCTAGCAACAGCTGGACCAGGCTGTCTGTGGTCATTGCACATCTTTTAAATATTTATATTAGCTGGGTGTGGACGGTGTGTTGTTGTCCACCAACAGGTTTCAAGAACTTAAATTCACAACACGAAGTTAGAAACTAGTTTACAGTATCTGTACTACTCAAAATCTTAAGCAAAATAACAATTTTAACAGCTAACTTTTAACATTGAAGAAAAACTCACTGAAAATACTACTCCTACCTATGCCTACTTAACACGTTTTATTAACAGTTACTTTTTGGAAATATTCCTAAATTATCAAGTTATAGTCTTAACATATCCTGCAGTTTAAAGTGTACTTAGAAAGTTTTTACATCATTCTTTTCCTTGACATTGAACGTGATTAGGCTGAATTTAAAAGATTTTATACTGGCTAAATAATATATTTACAAAACATAGACGAAGCAAAACTGTTAATATACTGTTTAATTCATCTAAAAATGTTTATAGACGAGCAACGATAACATTGCCTCTGAATTTGCAAGCCAGGGTCATCAGCGTGGGCAACAAAATTACACGCAATTAAAACAAAGCTTTTTGACGCGGTGGGACCCTCGTGGGGAGGTTAACTGAAATTGCGTTATTCCAACATCACAATGGCGTAATTACGCTGAAATTGGGTTGAATCTTGGCTCCGTTCCCGCCTTCACTTGCCATATTACATCCATACCTTACGACAAAGGGACAAACATCATGGCGGTGCTGTCGGACATTTGCTGGATTTATCAAGTCACACTAGAGTGTTTAAAGCTATTTAAAGAATATATAGGACATGCATAGTTCAGATTGTGCCAATCTTAGCATGTGGTTAACATATATTTCCTGTAAATAAGAATACACCATGTTTTGATGGTTCTGAACTGTGCCCAGTGGTCATTGATCATTGGGCTTTTTATTTCAGTCCTGTCGAAAGAAACATTTTATCTTGAGTAGGTAAAACATTTTAAAAATCATTTCAGCAACAATTTATTCATATTTGGGCCAAAATACGTCTTAGTTACGTACCTATATCATGATAATCGATTAGAAACGAAAGAGTGTTGAAGCAATTACTACGGAAATTTTGACCTCAGTACTAATACTCGCCGGTAGATCTACGTCATCAGAGTTTAGAAAGAACTTAATAAAAGAAATGTTTCGTTTCGAGTCCATTATATACACAAAGTATGTTTCTCAATATCGTTATAGTCTTTTCTGGAGTCTTTATGTGGAGAAACAATCCCGCATGCGCCACTCCTTGTAGCTTCCACGAAGTACTCGCCCAAGACGTTGTTGACTGTTGTACAGCTAATGACTTATCTGTGTCCACCGTGTGACGTTTCCTCCTCAAACTCTTCATTCCCGTGACGACCAGGAGTCCTGGAGTCGTCTGGCGTCTGCAGTCCATCCTGCCACTCCCTCGGCAGGACGGGGCAGTTTGATTAGCTCTGCATTGTGTTCGCCTACAACAGTTCTAAATGTTAAGTGCTTAAGGTGAAAATGTTAGAAAGATGTCTTTGAAAGATTTTTTATATTGAGGGGTACTTTCGTATCGTACATCTCGACTGAAGTGACCTCGATTTGTATTTATACATAGTGTAAAGAGTGGTTTTAATTTTCCACTGTAAGTGAAACACCATTTGGTTAAAACTGATTTTTATTTTTCGTGATGAAAATAAGCCAATAACCCTCAAAGTTACAGATGGATTAATCTGTTCAGATTTAGTTTATTGATTCTAAACCAACTTAAAACCCAATCTTCTCGTTTTACAAATTACCTAACACCATTAACACAAAATTGTTAACGCCCTTTGTTTTGTTGTTTTCTTTCCTGGAGTGTTACATTTATTGTCCCTTCTCTCACTTACCACTATCTTAAAGTGGCTTTGTGATTGGGAGCATAATCTTACAAAACCTTCCTACCAGTTTTCCAAACTCGAGATAGAAAAACAAAACAAAACAATACCCACACGAATGAAATCGATTGTAAAAAATACGAGATTCACAAGTCCGCATATTATTCGCACAATGAAGTGTAGGTCCATCAGTTTTCAACCCTACCTCCAGCCTATAAATTAGTGCTACATAATGAGTGAATGGTAATTTAAATTCCTCTACCCCTAAAGTATACAAATTAGCAGCCTTAACACGTTTACCCCGGTGATGTCAATATGTACCACTTCTCCCGCTTCCTCCATTTACTCACTCAGGCCGTTTTATGGAAATTCTTCAATAAAGTTTTCCACCACCCGACCCTGTACGTGGACTGTGTATTGATTTTGACGAGCCTGCTCGCTTTGTACACGCATTGATAGAAATTTGTACATGTATTTTTCTTCATCAATGTATTTTATGTTCTTCATTTTTTACATTAATTAACTAATGAAAAAATTTCAGCAGCCCACTTGTCCGTAGCCTACGGGTCATCTTACGAATTATTTCACGTAAATTTATTAATACTCTCCGTATTTGTTCCCCGTCGCAAAGTTGCGGCAATTTTTTTGACGGCTTATCAAGCAAATCTTTACCCAACGAGTTCTACAGTTTAAAATACCTCCTCTCTTTACTATCCATCGTTAAATGTCAGAAAATAATATTTACCCACTATTATCTGTGTGTAGTATCTCTTTTTGTCGTCAAAAAGTTACTTTTCGACTTTTTAATCTGTTTAGTTCAATATATAAGTGCGATTAACATTATAAAAAGGTATGGATGAAGACTGGAGCCGAGAGCAACAGAGAAAACACAGGTGTGCGCCGGACAGTCTAAGCTAAGTAGAAGGCGCAACTCCTCTCAATTACATCAACTTTGAGCCTATCCATTGTAATCTCACCTTCAACCTTACTCCTTAATCCACCTCTGCTATCTTAAAAATTTACCTTCTGCGTTGTTTGGTTCATTATCTACATTTTACAAGTTTTTACATTTACCTCATTATTTGTGGAATGGTATTTTTGAGGTTATATTATGTTAAGGTAACGGTAAA